GGGGGGGGGGGGGGGAAAGGGGGGGGAGGGGGAAGAGAGGGGGAGAGAGGGAGAGAGAGAGGGAGGGAGGGGAGGAGAGAGAGAGTGGAGACGGGGGGGAGCGGAGGGAGCAGGAACGGGAGCGGGAAGGGGAGGGAAGAGGAGGAGGGGATGGGTGGGGATGGGAATGGGATGAGAGGGAAGGAGGTGGGAGAGGAGAGGAAAGGAAGGGAACGGGAGAGGGGAGAAGAGGAGACAGACAGTTTTATCCCCTCTTGCTCATTAATCTCGTTTCGCTCGTTGTTCCATGCTGAGTTCCAAGACATCTTTTACTTTTGTTCTTTTGTTCATTTTTTTCTTATACTCTTTTATTATCATAACATTATTTCTCTTATTTTCAGTTTTACATAATAATAAATTTTCAGCAAAAATGAAAATAAGAGAAACAATCTCGAATGACCTTGATCTTAACGAATGTTATCCAGGACATGATCCTGAACAAGAAGTTTTAACCGTTGATCGGATATCTTGCATAATGCTAATGCTAAAGCGATAATACTGTATCCCGCACAGTACTTTCCATTGCAAATATATATTAAATACGTATCTATATATTCTATATGCATTTATATTGCGTTCCATTTTATATCAAATATAATATTAAATTATATATATGTATATATGTATTAATACGTAATTAACGCAATGAATATGAAATATTCAAGTTGAAATACGTACTTAATATTATACATACATTACATGTAGCAGATACATTGTGTATATTTAAGTCGAAATACATATACAATACCTATGTAATATGTAGCGGATATATCGAGCACATCCAAGTCGAAATATGATCGTATATGATACGTATGTAATATGTACCAGATACAATATATTGTGCATATTTAAACGAATATCACACACGTAGTTGATACATGTCTAACAGAATGCAGAATGTAATAATACATCGTAAGATGGCGTATCATAATAGCATCACATAACATTAAAAAAATCATAAACGGAGTTTTGAGCAAGTGTCTTGTGCATGGTTATTGTAATCGACTATCATATCACTATCGTATCAAAGAATAACAAATTTAACAATGTTAAAGTATCATATTAAACCGCGATATGAACACAAAACAGTCAAAAAATAGAGGCTTATTTCAGTCAAGCTTGAATTTTTAGTGCTAATCGAAACAATTCGTGTAAAACAAATTTAGGTTACATAGTAAAGAATAATTTAAATTAAATAGTAAGTCTAAGGTAAGTTCCCTGACGGAAAAAAATGTTAAAAAAGTACAGAAAAATTACATAGATTGAGATAAGATTTTAGAAATTCTTAATTTTTTTACACTAGCATACCAAAATCCGAAATATTTAAAGCATTGAAATTAATACTTAATTCCACGTTTCTTGTTTTTGACAATAGGTTCTATAAACAGGCCTTTGGAGTTCTCATGGGTTCTCCATTATCCTCCACAGTAGCTGACTATGCAAGACTTAGAATTGTGTTTGTTAAAAAAGTTTTCTCTCACTCCTGCCTTTTATGTAAGATACGTGGACGACATTGCTATGATTACTAACGCTTCAAACACTAACAAAATTCTAGATATTTTTAATTCATATCATTCACGTTTAAAATTCACTATAGAATATGGGGGAGATTCACTGAATTTTTTAGATGCGAGTTTAATTAAAAAGGATAATCATCTTATTTTTTATTTGTACCGTAAGTTTACATTTTTAGGTCGCTTCTAAATTATTTTCCTTGGCATCCTTTATTTCAAAAAATTGGCACAATTATTGATTTAGTCAATAGGGTATTATTATTATTATCACATCCAATGAAACATTGGATGTGATAATAATAAAAATTTGATAATATAATCAACATCCTCTTAAATAATGATTATCACTTAGTTTAATCTTCTCAACAATTAGGAAGAAATTGCATACAAAATTCTAGCAATTAAATTTTCAAGATAAGAGTGAATCTACGTATATAATGAGAACATTAAACAAAGGTTTTTTAGCCTTTATTCCGTCTGTTTTTGAAAAAATTAAAAATTTTATTACAACATTTCCGCGGTGTGAGTATGGAGTATAAAGAAGTATAAACAAATTAAGTAAATTCATTAAAGTTTTGAAAGATCCACTGCCTACATCATTTAATTCTGATGTAGTCTATACAATAAACTGCAGATATTGTGATGCCTCATACGTAGGCCAGACCGATAGATGTTCAAAAGTGCGGATGTCAGAGCACAGAAACTATATTAACAGGAACACAATTCAGTTTTCTGTTGTCACCGATCATAGAATAGAGACATCCCATGATTTTGATTGGGACAAAATTATATTAGATTAAAATAGACAAAAAAAATTTTAAATAAAAGACGATTGTTAGAGATAATTTACATAAAGAAACCATAAATTTACAAAATGATACTTTACCTCTGAAAATTTATTTAAAAAGTCGTAATGCCTCGTCTTTCTTATTACATGAAAATTCAACCTTAAGTTATTCTTGTTGATTAGTTAGTCTTGTTTGTCTTTGTTTTTCGTTTGCGTACTTTGTTTTTTAATACTTTATCTGTCTTAATTTTCATAATAACTTTCATTACTAAATAATATTAATATCTAAATAATTTTGTTCACGTACAGCAAAAAAAAATTTTTTTAATTCAATAACAGAGTAAGTGGTAATTCAATGTTCTTACGATTCTGCGTTACGTGTAAGTGACTTTAATTACATTGAGATATAACCCGTAAAAAATATTTTAATAAAAAATATTTTATTTATATCTACAACAAATATGCCAATTTGATGTACGAGTACATCTTCGATTAAGATTGAACAGAGTCGTCGTAATACGATCTTACGGCTAATTGTTCGTATGTCATTATTTTATATACTAAACAAGATCCAAAACAAGGGTCGAAGCGTATACCATTATTACTTAATAAAACTTTGCTCACGTACCAATATCCTGTGCTGGCTCATATTGGCATTTACACATCACTAATTTTTTCACATTTTTTCGTGTGCCCCTTAGCAGAGAGAAAGGTAAGATAGGAGTCGCTTCGCATGGAAATCGTGCGCTTCTAAACAGATAGAAAGGTGAGGTGGAAGCAGCATCGCGTGGAAGTCGTGCACCCTTAAAGGAGCATTTAGTCAGATTGCGCGGCAAATGACTGTCAAAATGACCTTGGCAGTCATTTTTATGATTATATTTGTAATCAGCACACCAAAATATAGTAGTATACCAATAGACAATAAAATCGAGAAGGATATACCCCTTATAACTTTTCTGAAACATTTCTTTCAAAAACATTATTCCCCCGAGTAAACCCGAGATCCCCATCTTTTTTAACGCCTTATATATGAAAACATATGTGTTGATATCCTCAATGTTTCTATTAAAAATATATTATTTACGCGTGTTTCTAAGGACTACATATACATAGTATATAAATTTACATAAAAATCATACAAGCATTAAAATTCAGCTAGCCGGTTTAAGATTTCTATAGTTTGTGTTATCACATATACGGTCCTATAATATATTATATTATTAAATTATTTACAATATGTTCATTTTGACGAAAATGATGAGTAATCGAATTGGGCCATTCTTTCAATAAAACATCAGATATTGAAATATACAACGATATAAACACTGAAAATAAATGTACTCAATTTTAATAAATATTCATTTAAATAATACCAATTAAACATTTACTTACAAGTTACAATAAATAAAGATTTACAATAAATAAATAATAATAGTTAAATTAAATTAATAGTTCTTGTACCAAATATTTTTGTATTTTGTACATATTTAGTTAGAATTATTTAAAAAATAATTTGTTAAAATTTCGTACATTTTTTCAGTAAAGCAAATGTATATTATATATTTTTAAGAAAGCTGGGTATGCTATATAAAAAAACGTGAATTAATTGAATATAGTGTAGTTTCTTTTAATGTGTATATTAATAAAAATTGATGTACGCTTCGTTGGATTCAACATTTTTATTGATTAAAACACGCATTTGTCGACTAAAACACTGTGTGCAAAAAATTTTGTAAATTACCTTAAATAAGAAAAGACCTTATATTTCTCTTACTTATTTTGTTTTATTATTTAACGTATTTTGCACTTTAATATTTTAATTATGCCAATTAAGTACACTGCGAAAAAACAAAATAGTTGTGAAAAAAGAAATATAAATTTGGCAAAACATTAAAATTATAATATAATATATATAATATATAATATGTAACTACTATAATATGTACTAGCTTTACTATTAATAGCAACTATTACGGTATTCTCAGCACTATAAAAATATAGTTACGGCAGCAGTATTGATAGTAAAATAGAGACTAAAAGGGTATAATCAGGGCCTAAAAGATTGCAACACTTTTTTTTAAATAGGCTTAGGAATGAAGCCTATTCACCGAACGATTGGTTCTTATTTGTCGATCGTCTTGATTATATATTCAGTGGACTTTAGTTGAATGAGCGCTCGCTGCTATTGATATATTCTTGTAGACCTCTGATTGGATGATCTAGAAGGATATACCAATAGCAGTGAATGCTCACTCAACTGTCGAGTCCGCTGAATGCGTCCAAAGAGTGTTTTCTCTTCGATAAATAAAATTTTGTGAAAAATATAAACTAAATACAGTGTTGTAAAGTATAAATA